CCACTAAGTAAGAAACACAGATCACCACCCATTTTGGCCTTGTTTCCTATCCTTACTTAAGTAAATTGTGCTTTGCCTTTCTAGAAATGCCTTGTGTCACTGTTGATGTGTCTTCTTATACTGGTATATTTTAACTTATTAAGTTTGAATTTAATTGAATAACTTGGACACTAACACTCTGTGTAAAATTTCTTCAGATCCCATCTGTCAATAACAATTGTCGGATGCAATTTTTCTTTATACCTTTAGCTAACATCATGAAGAACAACTGTTTTGCTTAGAAAAATGTGTAGGAAAGCCTGCAGATGCACCTTTAACAGAAAATCAAGCTGTAAATTTCCTTATTATTCCTTGCATGTATGATGCCAATATAAAATGCATAAGTTTTTTTTCCTACTGGAAACTTATGAAGTGTTCAGTGAATTTTGGAAGAATAGTCACAGAAAATTGACCAAGGCTGGGCTTTGAAATACTTAGGATTTGTGTTTTGCTTGTTAGGATGGTTTGGTTATACCTTGCTGCAATAAAATCTGGGCCAGTGTCAACGCGAATAGGCTGGTTTGGTTTTGAGTTGGCTTTGTTTTTGTTATTTTTGTGTGGATGTTTTTTGTTTGTTTTGTTGGGGTTTTTGTGTGGGGTTTTTTATTTTATTTTGCTGACATGAAGCTCACAGCGCAACTGATTATGCCAGCAGTGAGAACAGGAAAAAACATTGATACAATTATATTTTTCATATTCTAGATATGGAGATGAAGAGAAGTTTCAAGTCCTGATAGCTTTTTGCAGCTAAACCTTTGTGTGAACCTGCTGAACTCTGTATTACAGTCCACATGTGCTACAGTTCCCTGTAACTTGCTGCTACAGACATGACCTTGCTAGGGTAGTTGTGTCTTTTCTGCCTTTCTTACTGGGAAAGAGAATGCAGAGGGCAGAGAAGAATCAGTCATTCCCAAGATCCATCCTTTCCATGGCAGCAGAATACACTTTACAGCCCTTTTATCTTTCTGGCAACCACCATTTTTGACATCTATCCATTGATAGAATGTGGTGACAAAAATTGTGACTTCGTAGCATTAAGAATGTTGTTCTGATTGGTAGTTTCTACCAGAGTCAATCATGTAAGTTTCCAGAGGACTCTTGGTTTCCTTGGAACTGCTAAAAATATAAAGTGTTTTTCCATGACAATGCAGGATTGTGTTCTGTAATCTAAAATAGTATTGTAGAATTACACTAAGTGAGAGTGGGACATGTGGGAGAGATGTAGCAAATTTGTTCTTGCTGCTGAACTGATATTTGCTTAGATCAGAGAAATTTCTTACACATTGCAGATACTCTAAGATGTTGGAGACATGTGGAGTGCAACCCTTCATTAGTATATATGGGGCAGATGAATGAAATGCCAAGTATTTTTCAGAGGACACTAAACAGGGAGATCTTTGAAACTGCAGAATGCCAAGAAAGAGAAGTGCCGCTTAATATTGTTGAAGATGTTAATACAGTAAAAATTGCCTTCAAATAGGCAAATTCAGTATCTCCCGTGGGAGGTAACTTAGGCAGTGATAATCAGAGAGAAAAGGGGGAAAGGAAGGGCAGAAATGCTAGAGGGTAATTTGCACTGAAAGGATTCAGCACATTCATACTGAAACCCTCCAGAACAACCCTCCTTCTCAAACCCTAGAAATGTGACAATACCTAGGGTATTCCATCATCATATGCTTGCATATTTCTAAACCATTTATTTGATATGGTGTATTAGAAAAAGTGTTGGAACACTGTAAACACTGTAAAGCGTATTTAAAAATTCCTTGTAGATGCATTTGTAGGGCTGTCTATGGAGATTCTTTGCTTGATTTTTAAGCTACAAAACTTATTGCCACCAGCTGCCAAGAATTCTATATAACTAGGAGATATGTTTTCACAAGAAAATAGTTTCTTATTGTTTTTTTGGATTGGTTTTTTGGATTTTTTGGTATCATAATTTTTTCATTTTGCAAGCCTTGTATTAGTCATCTTGGCGGCACCTTAGAGATGGACTGAGAGGTGAAAGATTTGTTGATGAAACATCTACAATTACGGTTTAGGATATCCAGAGAAGTGGTAAACCTATTAATGTAACTGTTTCTTGGGCATATTTTACTACGTATTAAACATTTTCCATGAAAAATAGACTATTTTTGCTGAAAGCCAGTATGTTCTTTAGACCACACTTAATGTTTGCATTCTAATTACAGCATGTTTAGTGATTTGAATCTGTAGTGTTCTTTGCTTCAGAACTCTCCAAAAAAGTTGTTTTTTCCTGGATCTCACATGAAGTTTGGATATGCTTTGTCATCTGTAACACATACGGTTTTCTCTTTCAAGTCCCCATAAGCTAACTTCCTAGATGAGCTATAGATGAGAATATTAGAATTCCTTTTTGTTACTCCTGCATTGTGCAGAGGCCTTAATGCAGACTGGTTTTGTCAGAACATGGAGGTAGTGTGCACAGTTTATATCTGTTTATCTCTTCTCCTTTAAACAATGAAAGGTATTAATTGTTGGAGAGATGATTCAGTATGGACTAGTTACAGATTGATACTTAAATGCGTCCTATAGTGTTCCATTATTTTAATGGAAACAGCACTGATAATATGGAAGGTTATTCATTACTGGCTGGTCCAGATCATAAACATGAGGATACATGAGCAGCATCCCACAGCCAGTTTTCTCTGTTCTCCTGGTGAATTCATTTGGAGTAACTCAGAAACCGTCTGAACTAGCTGGATTGTCATGGTCATGTTATCACTGGCTGCCTGATCTCTGGATGCTGCCTTTCTTGTGGCCTGGAGATGCTGTGGGCACTGTAGAATGAGGAGAAGGAGCACACAAAAGCATTACTGTTAGCTGTTCAGATTTTGTCCCTGGCCAAAGTAAGATCAAAAATGTGTTTGAAGAGCCTTGTTGCCTTAGGATCAGCTGTTGTCTTAGAATCAGGCCAAGAAGGTCTAGCTGCTTATGCTCAGTCATTCCAGTGCTCTGTCCACGATGATGGATGTGTGAACCAGCTCTGAGATAAACCCAGTTATTCTGCTGTTGAATCCCACTAACAGTTTAATTTTGTGGCTGCAGTGTGCTTTTGCTGCCTCCTCTAAATTGCACCACTGCATTATACAGTGAAACTCTTCAGATTTTCCCTCTGAAGGTACAATGTCGATGTTATCTTGAGAGGTGAAGTGAGTGCTGAGAGCTTTTGTAAGTAGAGGTATCCTATAAGTAGGAAAGAATTAGCTATATTTTTGATAAAGAATGCAGAAAGAATTGTATCATTGACTTGGGGATTCATCTATATGGTCTATCAAGTGCATTTTTTAGCTCAAGAAAATGTTTTTTAAAATGCTTGTTTATCTGATTGAAAAGCCATTTCCTCTGTTTATTCAGTGGTCATCTGACTATTACAAATACTATTTTTATGACAAATACTGGTTTAACTCATATCAGCCATTTAATCCTTGCCCACAAAATCAGTTATTAAACATAAAGCTGGTTATTTACACAAGATCACTGAAGACTAAGATAGTTATGCAGAAGCAGGGAGCAGTCTAGTTCACTCCCAAGTCTCAGTTTCCTTGGCTAAGCAGCAAGGGAAATAGTTTTCTGTGAACTGGGTGTAGGTTTTTCAGTCATTTGTGCCTACTGTTCTTGATTTTAAAACTCAGCTTTCATGACCTGTTCTTCCTTCTACAGAAAGCCTTGGGAATTTAGATCTTGACTTCACTGGAAAACAGGGCTGTATCCTAGTTATTTTTATTTAGAGCATAAGAAGTTTAATGGTTTATGTAAAATACTGCATTCTGTAGCTTACTTAGTCATAAATGACTAATTAACATCTTGCAGAAGTGCTAGCCATGTTAAATTTTTATTACTTGGAACAAGATTAGAATTAAAAACTGGGAGGAGCAGAACAGAGTCTCAGATCAGGATTTCGCTGTAAAACATTTCCACTCTGCCAGTGTGTTCTTTTGGGAGCTGATGATGTAAAATATTTTGATGGGGAGAGGAAAATGTTCACTTATTATTCCAGCTAAATAGTTTTTTCCTTCCTTTTGTCTGAAGGGGTAAACATCTGAATTTAGTGTGAATTAATCTCTGCAGATGTATTTTGGGCAAATATATCTTGGAATAAATATATGTTGGAGAGGGGCCAACCCAGCATCATTGCTTTGAGTTGGTGCCTCAGGAGAGGGAGGACAATCCAAGTGCTGAAAACCTTTTCACTTCCATATTCATCTGGCTCTTGTAACCCACCAAAATACATCAATGTGGCAAATTCGGACCTTGTAGGCTACATGGGGCAGACATTTCTTGGGATGCCGCGGACCCAGCTGAGCTAAGTAGCTGTGACAGAAACACAATGCATCACTCCTGTGAACCTAAGAATGTGGTATTATTTGGAGAATATATTTATGTTAGCTTTGTGAAGTTTTCCAATAGCACAATTTTTATGTTGTTTTGTACAGTGTTGCTGGCTATGGGCAGCAGTGTACTCTGACAAGTTTTATGCTTTTCACAAGGTGGGGACACAGACTCCATCTGAACTGTCTGTTGAACAGGTTAGGAAGCTTTGTGAGGAGTACTGTAGTCCTCTCTTCCTCTTACCATTCAGGTTCTGTAGAGCAGCACTATAAGGCTAACAGGAGACAAAGCTGTCTTGAAACTACTTAATTGAAACTTTGACAACTAGTACATTAAAGCACAGAACAATCTAAGTATGAAGTGAACTCCTGGGTGCCTTTATTGCAGAGACAGTTGCTATGCTTACACCTGACATACACGTTATAGGATATCTAGAGGTGACAAGAACAAATTTTATTGGTTCATCATTGCATAAACAATCAGCTTTCTAATACAAAGTGGAATTCTCAGAATACTCCTTGTGTTGTGAAATAATGCTAAAGAGGGGAGGAACTCCAATGTCTTTTCTGAGTTTGCCTGAGAATGAACTCCTCTGTTTTTGTTACCAGGAATTCTGCAGCAGTGGGTCACGGCTGTTTCTGCTACGCTTTAATGCGTTCAATTCCAGTTGCCATCTACGTTATTTTGGTAACAGGTCTGCGCTACCACCTGTTCATATGGAGTGTCTTCTCGCCAAAGCTACTGTATGAGGGAGTGCATGTGTTCATCACAGCTGCTGTCTGCCTGTTCTTCACAGCAATGGATCAGAACCACTCTTACATAAAAGTGCAAGACTGAAAATAAGTGTGGTATGTGACTCTGCGTTACGATGTCCAGTGTGCCACTGGAATGGAAGAAGGAAAATACTGGCTTTAAATTGTTGTGCAGATTTTGAAGAGTAAATTGTTAAAAGAGTTGTTTCTTTTAGTTAAGATTAGTTTTGTGTTAAAACTGAGTTTTCTTTAAAAATGTTGAATTGAAATACACTGTTTTTTCATGGATACCTTTTGCTCTGTAGCTGTCATTATAGCACTTTCCAAATAACAGAATGGTGATATTACATGTTTTGAATTAAAAAATATACATCTTAATATAAATACAGACCAGTGCCTTGTGGGCACTGAAAAAATCTTGTGTGCATACAATTTTTTTACCTTCTTAGACTATAGAATCCTAAAAAATGTGCAGGTACTGTTCAAAAGATCCTGAATCCATTAGCCTCAGGGTGTTTTTATGTTTGTTTTCTTTCTAGTGGATGCATTGAAATTATTATTAAATTTTTATTGTACAAGCATTCCAGGTAAGAGATTTTGTTTGTTTTGCATAGGCAGAAAGCATTTCTGCTTAAAAGCAGTATTTTTCTTTGTAAGATGAGTGCAATCATTATTTGTAATGGATTTTGATCTGCACTTCAGACAATGAATATGAAATACTTATTGTCTAACAAAGTAATGAATCTTCTGACGAGTCCATTCGCTGCTCAAATGTTGTTTTTCCTTATCAATGTATAAATTATAAATCAGGTTGGTGCAGCCATACTGAACATTTGATCACGTTTTCCACACATGGGTGTGAAGCTGTGAGCAGCGAACAGGAAAACAGTTTAATGGATTAAGTTACCAGCAGAATAAAAGGCGTAAAAGGTGTGTTTGCAGTTTTCATCATGTCCATGTTTTTTGTCCATGTTAGTGGCTAATATGTTTGAGGTATATCAGAAGAGAAGCATACAGAGACCTTTTAATTTTTGTTACAAATATGGAAAAAGAAAGCTTTCAGGACCAATACAGCTTACAGCACAGTTGTTAAAATCACTGATGCATTTTTTTGTCTCATGTTACAGATAATGCAGATCTCAGGCCTTTAGTTTTTATGCATTAATAATAGGCCGTCTTGATTACTAATAATGAAATATTTTTTCAGCTATAAAATAATTAAATTTTTCAATACACTAGCAACGTATTGTTCTTTACCTGGCAGAGGGAGTACTGGATCTTAATGTCACTTACTGTGACCTGCTGGAAGATTGAAAATTAAATACTTCTAATAAATAATTTTTTACTGCCAACTGTGGTTATTTAAAAGAGTTTGTATTTGTAAATGTACATCTACCATTTTCACAAATCTCAATATTTTTTGGTTACCTGCTGACTAGCAGCCATGTGGCATTATCTAAATATTCTCTGTTTACTTATGTCATTAATTTGTAAGCAGTCCTCCCTAAAATGCATACTGAGAATGTTTATGAGATATTTGAGTCAGAGGGAAAGGGTGCTAATAAAGAGATCAAAGGGATAGAGCAGAAGTTTCTTCTGGTGTACAGATTCCTAAAATAATGTGGGATGACATTTACAAGTTTTATTCAATCCTCCTGGGTGGTTGTTATTTTTTTGTTGTTGTTGTTTTGGCTTGTTTCTTTTTTTTGTTTTTGTTTTGTTGTTTTTGGGGTTTTTTTGCTTCTAGTAATACCTCTTTTATCAAATAGTGGAATCCAAACTATTGTGTGTGTATTAAAATTGCATTTTTTCAGATTACTTAGTTAAATGATTCATGTTCCCCTTCTCCTCTGAAGTTGAAAGATGTCCAGACTGGATCCAGCATTAAATGGCTTGGGAAAGCTGCTACTTAGGTCTTCAAGACCAGGAAAGGAAGGAAGAAGAGACTGCATCTCTGTCTCAAGTCAGCTGATGAGTTTGCATGACATGGGAAAGAAACATGATGCTTTCAACTTCAGAATCAACATTTTTACTCCTTTTCAGCCTTTCCCTTTGAGTGTAGGCAAATGAAATAATGCTTCATGAGCTTATGGGCTCTAGCAATGCAGATCTTAGGCAGTAAAGGAATGAATTCTTGCTTCAGGCAACCAGGCTTTAACTGGAGGATTATGTTATAATAATTTTATTTTAAATCAACATAAAGTTTTGGCATTTGATCTGAATGTACAGAGAAAGCAAATGCCTGAACACAAATTCTCTTATCTCACTAGTTAGTTGTTCCACCTCACTTCTTGTCATGTTCAGTGTGTTTCAAACCCTCGCACAAGGAGACAAGTGATGTGGGAAGCAGGAATACTACTGGGGATGTTTTTTGCTGTTCTGAGCATACCAGTTTCTTCTGTCCAAGTCACCTGTAGTCTCTGCTTCTGTGTGGGATCAGCCTGGGCTTCCTCGGTATTGCCTTGTGCACAGACACAGACTCCTCCTTAATTAACTTCTAAGCAGGTATGTTTTCTCTATTTGGATAAAGTTTTGCCATGTTAAATATTTCTGCTCAGAACCCTCACTGCTGGTCACAAAGTGCAACAAGTTACTGCGGTCTACAGTTTGCTCAGCTGGATTTCACTAGATTTCAACTGACCACCAGTCAGCACAACTTAAAGCTTATAACTGATGTCCAGTATGAACCCATGGATTCACAGGGGTGATGCTTGGGCCTCCTTCTTGTAAATTAATTCCTGCTTAACGAAAAAAAAATAAATCTATTAGTATTTCAGGTACTATATGTTTGTACTTCTGCTCTCTAGGAAAAGAAGCCTCAGTTTTCCTTGTATTTACATAAGCCAGCACAAAATCCACAGCATGAACCACAGGCAGGGCATGTAGGGTAGGCCACTGTTCCTTCATGGTTCCATGCTCATCCCCAGCTCATCCCTGTGAGGGTCAGGGCAGTTTCTGAAATCCCTCATGTCAGGCATCAGAGCAAGATTTAGCTCTACAATTACGCAAAAGGAGAGGCCATAGTTGCAAGTTAAAATGAAGGGCTTCCTCTGAAAAACCAAGGTTTTTCCAGAGTGCTTCACCAGCAGGAGAGGAAAGAAACTGTGCTTCCACTGGTCAGCGGGGCAGGAGAAGGAGCTGGCTGGTGTCATTATAGGCCTCCTACCCTCCTAACTGTGAAAGACTTATCAGCACATGTTTGTGAGGCTGGCATTGCACCATCTAACCTACAGAAAGCCTGGGCAATTGCCTCTGTTCAGTCTACAGGCAGATAATACAGAGGCAGACTCTTTGCCAAAAGCTAGATGGAAGGAAAATGACTGATAGGGAGTTTGCAGGATAATTTCTGCCTGGCCCATAGGCACTTGATTTCTTCTCTTAAGAGATGACAGACAGTGGAGAAGGGAAAAGCACTGTATGTTGGACAACTTCAGCATTGCCTTCAGCAGGGTGTACTTGGCAGCCAAGTTGAGCTCGTATTAGTTGAGCTAATAGATGAGTGGGATTGAAGGTGGGCTGGATATGTGGGCTCTGACCTCTGAGGTCTGAGTCACTCCATCTCAGCCTTGCTTGGCAGAGAAGTGATGTGTTACTAGGGCAAGGCACTTTAGGATCATTCTTAAACTGGATGAGGGGAGAGACCAGAGCAAATCTGGAAATGGTACCAAGTAGGGGGAGGCGTGTATATGCTGAAGGGAAGGATCACCCTTTGGAGGGAGTTTGGCACACTGGAGAAATGGGCTGCAGTACAGCTGGGCATGTGCCCCTGGCTGGTAATGGTACAGGATGGTGCCCAGGGGCTGCTGAGCAGCCGTGACAGCCTGATCCTGTTCCCCAGCTCATCAGTGTTCAAGAAGCACACACACATCTGCATGGACACTTTATCCAGAACCTGGCCTAGGTCCCAGTGGCCTGTCCTGCTGCTGTCACCCAGACAAGGAAACCCCAGAGGTTTCCAGCTTCTATTGCTAGTATCCAGACCTCTTCTCTTACAAGTGAGTCCAGCCTGAAGTTCACTACTGTTCACACATCTATCAAGAGTTGAGGATGCATTTACAAAGAAGGATTTAATGAGAGGATGAGGCACTCAGCAGTGATGAAGGGAAGGACTCACAAAGAAATACACACTCTAGAGGCCTGTTTATACAAAGCCAGCACTTTTTCTCTACATTTTCCTCTGTTTTCCCACATTTATTCCTTTCTCAACCATCTTGGTCTTTCTTTTTCCCATTGTTTTATCTCTTCTCTAAGTATTATGTAATAACTTGCATGTTCCATCAATCCCCATAAACACATGCTGTAAGTTTTACTGAATCCTGAAGTGCCTTTTCTGTGGATCCCATGAGTCCTATGCTCCTCCAGGCAGTAAATTCCTTGAGTCTGCAAGGTCTTCGGGAGGAAACACTTTTTTTTTTTGACTAATCTTGGTGTGCTTCACACCAGGGATAATTGTCCAGTCGCTTAGTGACTGATTATATTGTTATCTAAATAAATTACTATAAATTGCTGACTGAGCAATTAGGTGGGCTGAGATCCTCAGCAAGTCCTTGCCCATCTGACCTTTGTGAAGTCATGAACAGTCTGTTATCACCTAAGTTCGCAGTGATTTTGTGCCTTGTTTCAGCCTGGGAATGAGGATGCATCAAAGACCTTTCGGCTGCAGTCAGCTCCAAGGAGGGGAGGCACGGAGGTGAATTCTTCGCAGAAGGGCATAGGGAAAGCCTCAAAGGCAACAGGCACAAGTTGCAGTACAGGAGTTTCCAGGAGGTCAGGGGACTCTTCTCTTACTTGGGTGTTTACTGTGGGGACGACGCCCAGGCTTCCACCCTGGGACATCTTCCAGCACCAGAGCAACCTCATTTAGTTGCCCCTGCTGTGGGCTGGAAGTTTTACTGTGTGTGTTCCAAAGAACTCTTCCAACCAACACTCAGCAAGAATTCTGTGGTTTTGCTGTGTTTGAAGTTGTCTCTGCAATTTCTTGCTGGTCATTTCACAGATTACTTCTTGAAGTCAAAAAGCTTTATAACTGATTTCATAATAAAAAAGTTAAAAAAAAAAAGTGAAAAAACCACCACCACAAAAAAAAAAAACAAACCAAAAAAGAACATGTCTGTGTAATTTTTATTTTTTTTTATTAATAGATAAACAAAACAGTTGAAAATTGTTGTTAATTTTGGTGTTTCTGTAGCCATGCATTTACCCCTAGTTGCAATGTCACCTGCCTTTCAGTTCCTCTGTAGCTGTTCTGTTTCCAGACTTGATTACAAAAGGTGCCCTATTCTGCCATTATCTCGATTGAGAAATAGGCCTGTGGACATCATTACTTTTGTTTTGCCTGATTGGAGACAGAGGGTCACCTAAAAGGACCTGTTACCTCTCACAACATTTGATGAAAAGCTTGGTGTCATGGTTTTAGCACTAGTTAAGTATCACTGGAATACTTATTTTTTGCTGTGAGATATGGATTAGGAGAAAGGCAAAGCAGGCTGAAAACTTAAAAGGAATAAAGAAAGTTTATTAACAGAACTACAAGAATAAGGAACCAGAATAAAACCTCAAGAAACCCTTCCTCATTCCCATGATGGCAGCTGCCCAGAAGAAACTCTGCCATCATGCCTTCCTCCCATTTTCACACCGCTCAGAGGTGTGTTCATGGGCTGTGAACTCAAGGGGTATTATTTTAAGGATGAGTTATTCAAAGGCAAAGGTTCTCTTCATCTGACTCTGTGATCATCTCTGGGAACAGAGGTTTTCTCTTTTTTGTCACTGGAGGCCAAGGATCTTCGTCAGCTCTCACTTCTCTTTCTCTGTTCCAGCATTTCATGGGATCACAACTACTCCACCATCTGCTTAGTTTCATCAATGGATACCTTTGCTCAGATCTACACTTCGAAATACTTCATTCCCCCAAATACTCTTTCATAAATTAAAGG